AGATAGAGTTATTGGTTATTTAACCCTGGCAGTTATCTCTATAATCTAGATAAAGTTATTGGTTATTTAACCCTGGCAGTTATCTCTATAATCTAGATAGAGTTATTGGTTATTTAACCCTGGCAGTTATCTCTATAATCTAGATAGAGTTATTGGTTATTTAACCCTGGCAGTTATCTCTATAATCTAGATAGAGTTATTGGTTATTTAACCCTGGCAGTACATCTCCAATGCCAACTTCATAATGACAGAATATATATATAAAGTTCGATCAAGGAAACATTGGTCATGCATATATCAGATAGATATACATAAAGTTGATACAAAATTGTTAATTTTTTTGAGTCCGTAAACTGACACAGAACATAAGAAAGCGTATCGTACTTTGTAAACATAAAGTTCAGAATCTTCTAAGTTACCATGGGATCGAACAACCAGAGGGCACAGCGATCGATCACTGCATAACCATTCTGGTAAAGTTGGAATTCCTTTCAGTGGAAGAACCTTCCAAGACAAAACAGATAAACTTATCATTTGGAAATTTTAAGTTAATGTACATAAATACATCTCTGTATAAGAATGTATCTGTGTGTGTGTGTATGAGTTTATAAATATGCATATATATATATATATGTACATACACAAATTTGTATTCAAATTAAAGGTATTTTAACGTCCTGTGCGTAATATAGAGAAAAAAAAGCTAATAATTCAGATTTTCATTTCAATTTATTGTTTGCTTTTAATTTCAGTGATGCCAGACTTGTAGCAGTACTAAATTCAAACATAAGAATTTCTCAACACAAATTATATCTCTTCATAAACAATCTTCACTTAGAGACAAAGTGCACATTGTTAGTAAAAACAGCGCCTTAGAAACCAGAACTACAACTCATATTCCAAACAAAATAACAAAAAAATAAACATTCCTAATTATTGTTCTCTCTCTGTGTATTACGTTACATCCAAGTAAATAGGCTAACTTGAACATCAGTTTGGCTATTTCTTTTTAATGGTCGTTTCTGGTTCTTCACTAATTCATGACATGGGTAAAAAAGATTTGTACCATCTTTGATAAATAATATGTACTAGAAAATATAAGTTCTGGGAAATTATTTTAATATATATTTTGCAGTTTGTGTAGTACCCTTCGAGTTCTACCTTAATGTCTATGGTAGTCATCGTTGTGTATTGAGATAGTCTGAAAAGTTTTAGACCAACTCAAGTAAATGAGTATGAAAGTATTTGATGGTGTAAAACTTAAGAGCACTACATAAACGTGTAACTAATTATGATAGTGTTGGAGTGAGTTTCTAATGTTGTAATACTGAAGAGTGCTATACCAACAGGGAACTGAATATGGCGGGGTTTGTAGGGTTTTTTCTGATGGTGTAAGACTAAAGAGCGCTACATCAACAGATAACTGAGTATGACAGTGTTGGGGTAACTCTCTGATGGTGTAAGACTAAAGAGCGCTACATCAACAGATAACTGAGTATGACAGTGTTGGGGTAACTCTCTGATGGTGTAAGACTAAAGAGCGCTACATTAACAGATAACTGAGTATGACAGTGTTGGGGTAACTCTCTGATGGTGTAAGACTAAAGAGCGCTACATTAACAGATAACTGAGGATG